AAATTAGGGACGGCTAGCGCAGATAGCCCTCGTGTAGCTTTGCGCGAAATTCCAAAACAAACAATTAAAAGTTATAATATGGAAACTTTCATGGTTACTTTGTGGTTACAAGGTCAGTCACATTGACCAACCCTATATGGAAAGAATTAATGATAATTCACTTGCAATTAAATATTTTATTAAAAAATAACTGTCAAAGACTAAATCTGGGACTTAAAATTATGTTGTTATCCTATCATGAAAGACATTTATAGAAAAGCACACTGGTTACTTAAAATTACTGTTTTAGTCAAAATTAGGGATAAGGAAAGTTTTTTCTATTTATAAATTAACCAGTACAGAAACAATTATTATTCATGAAATATTTACTTGTAATGCTTTTTTTTTCAAGATATCAGTGATAGAAAGTAATGCTTTGCAATTGAATGTTATTCTCCTCAATATACAGTTTTTGTACCTAGTTTGCAGAAAATTAGAGATAAAATGAAACAGTTAAATGACTTACAGAGCTTCTTTGGAGACATTATTTTTTTTAATTGTGCATATAAAACCTGAAGCTGAGTTCACAAAATACTCTATGCTGAAACCTCTGTGAATGATAAATCATTCATAGATAGGGTTGGGCAATTTATTTTATTACCTATGAGCAGTGATTACATAGATTAGTGACATGTAAATAAATCATATAATCTAAATTCTGATTACATGGATGACTCAAAATTGGTGTTTCTGTTTAATTATTCAAAATTACAAATAAATCAACTATCATTAAAATTATCAATCAATTATCATTTCAAGTATTCAAAATTAGTGTTTCTGATTATTACTGTTTTCAGTTATTCCAACAATCAATGAATTAAAATTATGATTAAATTGATTATCAAAATCATCAGCTAATTGAAACTAGGGTTTCTAGATATTACTATTTTTGATTATTCCAACTGTACAAGTAATTGAAATATAGCTACTATATTTCTTTGATGTTAAACACAAAGCAACATAATGGGCTACCATCAAACTTGCTAGCCTTTTATTTGTTTTGGCAAAGCTACTGAGGCCATCTGTCACTGTCATTAGTTTTGAACTGTTGACTAGAGGGAAGGCAACTGGTAGCCCTCACCTCCAGATTTTTTTGAATTAGTAGCTATCAGCATTTGCCACAAACTTTTTTTTTGTATGTGCCATAGTACGTGTTTCAGTTAATAGCACACAAAATAAGCAAGAAGGGCCTCCATCTTGAAAAGTGACAAAAGTTGTGCACATAAATTGCTTTCATGTATGTTGGGATCTGGATTGTGGAAAGCAAGCAGGAAGGAGTGATGTGCTTCAGACATGACAATCTTGTGACAGAGCCTTTGCAATGGGTAGTGCACTGTTGGGCTATTGTTAAAATGCATGATCATCTGTAGTTTTTAGCCATGTATCAATTCATGTTGAATCCAGCTTAAAATACTATATTGTTATCTTTCTTTGAGGTTCATGTGTTATATGTTTCATTTTGAAATTCAACATAAAGCACAGAATTTTGAACAAGCTTTTTTGATCTATTTAAGTATAATTAAGTTTTTTTTTCTAAGTGTTCCATAAAGGAACAATAGAGCTTAATGTTCAGCATTAGTTTTTTGTTACAAGAATTAATATAATAATTAGTTTGTTTTGATATTCAACTCAGAGCACAGATTGTTTATCTAGAATGTGTTGCAGTTAAATTAGAAAATGCCCCAAGTGTGTCATATTTAGAAGCTCTCTATTTCCCAATTAAAGTACCTCTATGTATTTACTTTTATTACATTTGGTGATTTTCTGACAACACTCTTCCAAGAAGATTAGTAAATATGGGAAAACTTTTTCATTATAGATGGATCATATCATAAGGAGTATATATATTATATATGACTCACTCTAAGAGGAAAAGGTGTGGTATACAGCTTACCATATGTTTTCTAACCCCTTAGTTAATGCAGTAATTTTTCAAAATTTCTGTATAAATGAACATTTGTCCTTGTGTGTAGTGTCCGTGCCCTGAGAATAATCTCATTGTTGTTTTACTATATATATAATGCTATGTTTTCTCAGTCAGGAACATGATGATATAATTTTAGAGAGAGATATGATTAGATTTTACCGCAGTTAGATTTGATAAAATCTGAGTTATCATTAAAGATGCTAAAGCGATACACTTGTTTTTACCTTTGATATTTTTTTAACTTTGGAGATAAAGATTGTTTCACTGAGCTTAAATTTGTATCCAGTCTTCTTCTTTGCTTCAGATTGAGTCAAAGTTAACTCTTTTGCTGCAGGCTTGGTCAAATTGACCAAGTTTGTGACCCCAAATTGACCTATATGGTTTTTACACTATAACTTCTAATATGTTTTGTGCATCTCCACGAAATTTTGCAAGCTTTCACTAATTATTAAGAGTCATTTGTAGACGAAAAAAACAGAATTTTTGATTGACTATTTTCACTAAAAAATTTTACATGAATATATGGAGTCAAAGTGTTGACTGCTCTAGTGCAGAGTGATTTTTATGTTAAGCTTAAAAATATTTTTCTTCATCTGAAAAATCTCAAATTTCTCTACCCTAGCTCTGTAACTCAAAACCATCAAAAACAAAATTCTAAAAAAAATCTAAATTACCCTTTTTTTCTTTCTAAAATGACTTCAAATTGTAACATTAAATTACATTTGTTTATCCTAAGTAGCTTTAAACTTGTATCAGTATCCATGTATTTATACTTAAATTTTATTGTTTTATTGCTCTTTTAACTGTGAATAACTGATATTCCTGCCATAAAAGTTGTAAATCACTTGGTGAATGTGCAGCTTACGTTATCCTATTGAATTACATAATGCACGAGTTGTTTTCCAGTGTACCTTTATTTTACCTTATATAACATAACAGTTTCTAATTTTTACATTAGTTACTGTTATTATAATAAGTAAAGAATACTCATGAAAAACAAGAAAAAAAGTACTTACCTGGGTCTTTTTTTTTTTTTTCTTTTTGCTGTCAACTGCCGATGACACATAATCCTATTTTCTTTATACTATTGGTTACTGCACTAAATAATTTTTTATTTAATTAAATAATACGCCAAATAGTACAGAATAATCACATGCAAAAAGCAGACAATTTCCTATAACTGTCAATTTTTCTGGCTTTCTAACTATGCGTTAAGTGCCATTACAAATTCAGCTAAGCTCGTTGATGTGTTTCCTGTGGGAATAAAGTTTGAACTGGAAGTGAAACAGACAATTTTCTTTACAGAAAACAGCATAATATAATGTTATTTGATAGATTAAAATCTTGGCTTTCTATTGGTTATAAATGATGTAGTATTAAACATCAGAGAGAAATATTGGTGGTTTTTGAAAGAGAGAATGTGACAAGAGGGGTCTAATTTTCTATTTTATGGGTCTGTAACTAAATAAGATTGAAGGCTATAAAAATTATGTTTTGCCTTAGTGGTAAAAAGTTATAATGAGTAATTTACATTAAATGTTATTCTTCATGGAGGGGTTGTAAATAAATTAAGATAAGAGGGGATGCCTGGAGAGAAAATGTCACACTTCTCATACTAGGGGAAATTCAGTATTTTGTTTTAATATTGCCATATAAAATTATGAACTTAAAACTTATATACTATTAAAATTTGGATTATTATTTATGTTTTTATGACAAACTTATTCATATACGTTGATAAAAATTACTGTATTTTTTGGAATATAAGATGCACCCTTATTTTGAAGACAAAGTTTTGG